CAGAGTGGCTGTACCAGTTTGCATTTCCACCAGCAGTGCAAAAGAGATCCTCTTTCTGCCAACATCTGTTGTTGCCTGAGTTGTTAATGTTAGCCATTCTGACAGGTGTGAGGTGGTATCTCATTGTGGTTTTGATTTGTATTTCCCTGATGATGAGTGATGTTGAGCATTTTTTCATGTGTCGTTTGGCCATCTGATGTCTTTGGAGAAGTGTCTGTTCATGCCTTTTGCCCATTTCTTCACTGGATTATTTGTTTTTTGGGTGTTGAGTTTAATAAATTCTCTACAGATTTTGGATACTAATCTATCTTTATCTGATTCATCATTTGCAAATATCTCCTCCCATTCCGCCTGTTGCCTTTTAGTTTTGCTGATTGTATCCTTCATTGCACAGAAGCTTTTTATTTTGATGAGGTCAAAATAGTGAACTATCAATAGTTCATTTTTGCTTTTGTTTCCCTTGCTTCTGGAGAAGCGTTGAGTATGAAGTTGCCACGACCAGGTCAAAGAGGTTTTTGTCTGCTTTCTCCTCGAGGATTTTGATGGTTTCCTGTCTTATGTTTAGGTCTTGCATCCATTTTGAGTTTATTTTTGTGTGTGGTGTAAGAAAGTGGTCCAGGTTCATTTTTCTGCATGTCGCTGTCCAGTTTTCCCAGCATCACTTGCTGAAGAGACTGCCTTTATTCCATTGGATATTCTTTCCTGCTTTGTCAAAGATGAGTTGACCATACATTTGTGGGTCCATTACTGGGTTCCCTATTCTGTTCCATTGATCTGAGTGTCTGTTCTTGTGCCGGTACATACTGTCTTGATGATTACAGCTTTGTAGTATAGGTTGAAGTCCGGGATTGTGATGCCTCCAGGTTTGGTTTTCTTTTTCAAGATTGCTGTGGCAATCTTGGGGTCTTTTCCGGTTCCATACAAATTTTAGGATTGTTTGTTCTAACTCTATGAAGAATGCTGGTGTTATTTTGATAGGGATTGCATTGAATATGTGGATTGCTTTAGGTAGTATTGACATATTAACAATATTTGTTATTCCCATCCAGGAGCATGGAATCTTTTTCCATTTTTTTTTTTGTGTCTTCTTCAATTTCTTTCATAGTCTTTCTATAGTTTGCAGTGTATAAGTTTTTCACCCCTTTGGTTAGATTTATTCCTAGGTATTTTATGGTTTTTGGTGCAATTGTAAATGGGATCGACTCCTCGATTTCTCTTTCTGTTGCTTCATTGTTGGTGTATAGGAATTTTAACTGATTTCTGTGCATTGACTCTACATCCTTCAAATTGCTGAATTCATGGATCAGTTCTCACAATTCTATGGTGGCATCTTTAAGGTTTTCCATATAGAGTATCATGTCATCTGTGAAGAGTGAAAGTTTGTCCTCCTCCTGGCCAATTTGGATGCCTTTTATTTCTTTGCATTGTCTGATTGCTGAGAATAAAACTTCCAATCCTATGTTGAATAACAGTGGTGAGAGTGGACATCCCTGTCTTGTTGCTGACCTTAGGGGGAAGGCTCTCAGTTTTTCCCCATTGAGAATATTAGCGGTGGTTCTTTCATATATGGCTTTAAAGATCTGGAGGTATGATCCTTCTATCCCTACTTTCTTGAGGGTCTTTATCAATAAAGGATGCTGTATTTTGTCAAATGCTATCTCTGCATCTGTTGAGAGGATCATGTGGTTCTTGTCCTTTCTTTTATTGATGTGATGAATCACATCAATTGTCTTGTGGATATTGAACCAGCCCTGCATCCCAGGTATGAATCCCACTTGGTTGTGGTGAGTAATTTTTCTAATGTGTTGTTGGATCTGGTTAACTGATATCTTGTTGAGGATTTTTGCATCCACGTTCATCAGGGAAATCTGCCTGTAGTTCACCTTTTTAATGGGGTCTTTGTCTGGTTTTGGAATCAAGGTAATACTGGTTTCATAGAAAGAGTTTGGAAGTTTTCCTTCCATCTGGCCCTGGACTCTTGTTTTT